TTTAACTATAATTGTGGATTTGTTTATCTTCACAGTTCTTCAATTTTTTTTCCATATATTTTCAAGTTCTGTTACTAGGTACAAAACATTTACAATTGTCCTGTTCTCTTGATAAATGTGCCCACTTAATACAAAGGACCTTACATGTGCCTGTTAATATTTTTTATTCTGAAGTATGCATTGATATTATTACAGCTACTATAGGTTTATTTTGATTAATATTAGCACAACATCTCCTTTAATCTCATTACATTTAATATATTTGTGTACTTATATTTAAAGTGCATTTCTTGCCAGGTGTGGTGGCACACTCCTGTAATCCCAGCTCTTGGGAAGCTGAGGCAGGAGGACTGTTGCAAGTTTGAGGCCATCCTGGGCTACAAAGTGAGTTCACAACCAGCCTGAACTGCATAGTGAGACTCTGTCTCAAAAAAATAAAAAATAAAATAAAGTGCATTTCTTATGGGAAGCAGATAATTGGCTCTTGGTTTTATTTCATTTTAAAATATCTGGCTTTTAAGTGATTTGTTAAAACATTTACATTTAGTGTGATATTGATACCCCTTACATTTGACTTTATCATCATGGTGATTTCTAGTTGTTGCACTTGTTCTTTGTGTGTGTGTGTTTTGTTTGTTTGTTTGTTTTGAGACAGGGGCTCCCTATGCAGTTCAGGCTGGCCTTGAGGTCACGTTGTACCCCATAAGCTGGTCTCAAACTCCCACGATCCTCCTGCCTCCGCCTCCTGAGTGCTGGGATGACAGGCATGCACCACCACAGCCAGCTGCACTTGTTCTTTGTCGCTCTTTCTATCTTGTTTTGGTTTGAGTATCTTTTGTGATTCCATTTTATGGGGTTTTTTTTGGTTGACTTAACATGTACAACTCTGGCTTGTTATTTTATTGGTTGCTGTAGGGTTTACAGTATACACCTATACCTTGTCACAGTCTAATTTCAAGTGATGTTATTATTGTTTTTGTTTTTTTGTCTTTTTGAGACAGGGTCTTGCTATGCAGTTCAGTCTGGTCTCGAACTCACAATGATCCTCCTACCTCAGCCTCCCGAGTGCTGGGATTACGGGAGTGCACCACCATGCCCGGCTCAAGTGATGTTATACTGCTTCATGAATAAGAAATTTACATCAGATATATTGGCATGCAGCTGTAATCCCAGCTATTCAGAAGGTGGAGGCAGGAGAAGCCGACACTCAAGGCCAGCCTGGGCAGCTTTATGAGACTACTGTCCCCCCCACAAAAAAAGAACCTTAATATCTCTGCTTCCAGCCCATATGCTATTGTTGACATACATTTTATCTTTACCTACATCGTGGCTTTCATCTCTAGAAGTTTGACTCATGATACATTGTTATTATTTTTAAAATATTGTTTAGGGGCTGGAGATTTAGCTCAGCAGTACAGAGCCTGCCTGGCAAGCGTGAGGTCGTGAGTTCAATTCCCAG